TACTCTGGGAACTCTCGACTCCATTCTTGAATATCAACTGGTTCTTTGACCGTACAGGATTCAAAGGCGGAAAAATACACTTGATTAATGGCATCAGCCTTCTCATTTCATTCTTCTTTGCACGATTGATGTACGGGACCTATATGGTACGTAAATACTCGGAAGTGATGTACTGTTATCCATTTATATTCATCTGTTTTTAGTCATATAACTTTTACCAGACGGCATTGTACAATAGAGCGGAGATCCCAGCACCTCTATTCTGGACCTATGCTGTGGGTAACGTGGTGCTCAATGGACTGAATTGGTTCTGGTATGTCCTCTTGAATGTTTCCGAGTGTATTGTCGACCAAGAAGACTGACGCCCGGATTTTTAAAGGTTTTCCAAGATGGTGAATACTGTCCGTCGCCGATTCGCACAACCGTCCGCTGGGACTGAACATATAAGTGGCACAAATAAACCCAAAAGGATCGATTAGATATAGTGAAGGGAGGTGGGTCAGGTGTGGTTCGACACCGGCCAGTCTCCTAAATACTCCTAGTAGCTCCTAGAATTAATCTGTTACTTCGTTCCTAGCCTTTGTTGTAGTCTGTTTTGGTAATATGTTCTGAATCGATCGAGATCTGCTTTCGCCCTCGGAAGCTTGTTTCACACTTTATCACCCTCTTTTACCACAGGACAATGGTAGCGTCACAACGAGGGGATTTGCCAAAGGTGAAGTAAACTACGATACTTAGTTCATAGGGAAGAGTCGTGTTTTGTGGAATTAGTTATAAATTCACATGTAGAAAGCTCACTCCAAGGACAGCAAGGGTGTGTGAGGCTACAAGCAATATACTCCTATACTCAGCTACAATACAGAGGATGAAGACGCTCATCTATCTTCAGCCCATTCATTCTCCTTCTTGATTTGGGCCTAAAAAGCATCACACGACAAGTTAGACTCGACAATTGCTTATCAAAGGAAATCGTTATGTATTACTCACCTCTTCTTCAGGAGTAAAGTCGTTTACAATGTTGAAAAGCTTCCTGATCTCTTCAGGAGACTTGCCCTTGATCATATTGGCCACAGTCTTGCATCCGACATCCCTAAAAGCATTCAAAGACAGAAGTAACAATTATCAGTCACGATTGTTCAAATTGTGGAGAAGTAGAATGGGGAATCCGTCAAGGGACGCGGAGGCGCCACTGAGAACGGGGCGTCTGATTGAGAACGGGGCACTGAGTG